GGGCTTCAACTCCCAGAATTCTCCAACCAGCATAGCTGGCTGGAGAATTCTGGGAGTTGAAGTCCACAAGTCTTAAAGCTACCAAGTTTGGGGACCCTGCCCTAGAGTTTAGATTGCCTCCGCTCCTGCTGGCTTTCATAAAACCCTGAAAACATGGCTTTACCAATGGACATGGGGATCTGCTGATTATATAGAGTTAGATGTGATTACCTCAGGTATGTATTTTATTATTTTTTATGATGGTTTTATATGCTTTTATGTTTTTTCTTGTTTTTTTAAATTGTTGTATTATTCTCTTTTTAGAAATGTATTTTTAAATGTTAAATTGGTAATGTTTGTTGTAATTGTTCATAAGTTGCCCAGAGTTACATATATGAGATAGGTGGCTATATAAATTCAATTCAAACCAATTCACAAATACACAGGTAGTTACAATCTGGCCTCTGTGATGAGCAAAGTAGAATAAATTGTCAGCAAAATAAAACATCTGAAGATATGATTGCATTATATTTTGTGCATTATATCTCAGCTTATCTTAAAGCTAAGAATATGTAAGAGTGGGTTGGAATCTCAAGACCCATAGGGCTTTATGAGGAAGCTATGCTATGTGGTACAACCTTCCTAAAAGTGATGTGGTTTGTTTGTTTTTTAGTTTTAGTTTTTACACAGATTTATTAAATATAACATGTTTACTTAAAAACAAAGATTTGTCTTGACATTCTGAAGCCCTTAGGCATGCCTTAAGTAGTTCCCTGGATTCTAGCCACTGTCAACATTAGTGACCAGATACAGTTCCTATCAGATATCTCAGTTCTGGACTAGAACGCTCATTTCTTTTTTTAAAAATAGTGCAAAGACAAAAGAAAGCATATTGTGCTTTTCCAATACCCACTAATCAGCGTTAATCAGCACTCTTTTATATTCACTTCTAGGTTAGTCCAATTTATTTATTCTAGAAATTAACTTGAGCTGATAGACAATACCAGGTAAATAATTATTCACTTTTGAAACGGCTCATTACCGCACATCTACAAATCTTTTAGGGAATTTTCTTTCTGAGCAACATTATAACCAGAGTTTATTACTATATGACAGCTAGCTGAGTATTGTGGTTAAAGGCACCAGTTTAGAAGACAGGAGATTGTGTGTTCTGGCCCTGTCTTAGGCATGAGCAAGTTTCTCTCTCTTAGCCCTAGTAAGATACAAATATGCCAAGAAAACTGTAGGAATTTGTTCAGTCAGTTACCAGGACTCAGCATTACTGACTTAAAACCATTTGTTTAGTGGCTGTTCAAAGTTACAACAGCGCTGAAAAAGTGACTTATGACTGGATTTCACATTTATGATTGTTGAAGCATCGCCATGGTCACATGATCAAAACTGAGGCGCTTGGCAACTGGCATGTATTTATGATGGCTGCACTGTCCCTGGGTCATGTGATCACCAACCTTCCCACCCGGCTTCTGACAAGTGGGAGAAGCCAGATTTGACTTAACTGCGGCAGTGATTCACTTAACAACTCTGGCAAAAAGGTCGTAAAATGAGGTGCAACTCACTTAGCAACTGCCTCACTTAGCACTGGAAATTTTGGGCTCAATTGTGGTCATAAGTCGAGAACTACCTGTAATTCAAAAGATACAATATTTGCTACTATATTTATCAAAGTAAAACGTTCTCAAAGTAAACTCGTTAAAAAGCTGAGTTGCTCTATTAATTCAGTCAGTAATTCTGTACTGCAAGGTACAGCAAAAGCTAAAAGCCTTTTGTAGCTCAGCCAAACTGAACACACTCTTGTTCCAAAAAAATCTATGACAACTGCAGTAAGTACTGGCATGGAATACCGAGGTTACAAAACAGCAGAAGTCTTTAAATCTTATGAGATTTGCCAATGTACTGAATTTTATTTTTCTGATAATAGTTTCTATTAATAAAAAAAGATCCACCTGGTTAAATATTCTATTCTTAAAGAAGCTATCAAACGAGAAAAAAAAAATAGTACAGTAGCATGACTATTCCACTAATCAAAGTTTTAAATGAAAATGTTCAAACTAATACGGGCAAAAAAAAGCATTGATTTAGTTTTTCTTTTACATCTGAGCAGATTTTTGTCTCCTGTGGTAAATCAACCCTAGTTACTTATTAATGTTGGTGTAGATATTCAGTTTATTCTAATTTCTGTAACATAGATATTTGTTCACCATTATTACTATACCAACAATGCAAATGTTATGTATTTCATGCATGTCTGGAGAAGAGCCTAATGCTGGGAAAGATTGAGGGCAAAAGAAGAAGGGGATGTCAGAGAACGAGGTGGCTGGATGGAGTCACTGAAGCAGTAGGCGTGAACTTAAATGGACTCCAGAGGATGGTAGAGGACAGGAAGGCCTGGAGGAATGTTGTCCATGGGGTTGCGATGGGTCAGACACGACTTCGCAACTAACAACAACAACAACAACAACATGTGTATATACATATCTAATAAACACACAAACATTCACTTTTCTATTTTATATATGTAAAATCTAATCATCATACATAATATCTCATACACACAACAGATACCTCAGCCAACTTAAATGTTTTTTAGAGCATAAATGGATAAGTGAAAAATTCACAGAGCACGAGGATTATGTAGAAATGGGGTTATCTGGGAAGCTGAAAATTAAAACTGATAGGAAGACTCTAGGTTACCAAGCAGGAGGTAACACTTTTCTAGACAACAGCTTGTTATCTAAAAGTAAAATAATGTAACTTGCTGAATTTGTTGAACAATACAAATATGATAAACAATACAAAATCCTCATGATAAAAGCAGCAGATAGCTATCCTAAAGAGAACTAAGCTCACCAACAAGATGTTTGAGGCTGTGAGTGTTCTGCCAAAGTTGTAATCTCCGAGACTTTTACCATACAACCTTCCTCTCAAAATAAAAAAAATTATCTGTATATTATTAAGAACAAATGTGAATAATTATTAAGAACAAATATGAGCAATCTCTTTTAAGAGCACAGAATTGCACTATATGTAAAGTACCAGAGTTGTTCCAAATTCCTAATGATGCTGTATTAGGACTTGTCTTTTGGGAGTAATACAGGAGGATAAGGTCAGTTAAATAGAATGTTTTTTAACAAAATTATAACGATTTTGGACATGATATGGCTTTCACCAGGTGCCAGGGAAACCAATTAAATAGCGCCTAGTGAAGTAGAACAATATGTACATTGCCTGCACTTCAAAGAAACAAGGAAAAAGATCCAAAGCAATGAGACTCGGTTCCAAACAAATCATGTTCAAAGTAGATGCATTACCAAAGTATTAAATGGTACATTACGTTTGAAAGAAACACTCAACTGACCTCTCTTCTTAAAATACAGAAATGATCATGCTGCTACTAATCAAAGAGACAGAGCTATTATACTGCTTCCACTGATAAAGAAGCTGCAATTCAGCAACCTGCTGAATTGTAAAAACAAAACACTCATAATACACACTGAAATCTTTCCGAAACATGATTCTGTTGATTATTTTAAAATTAAACATGCTGACAATGATTAATTCATTAGTTGGGAATAAATAAAGGCAGTTCAGAGGCCCAGCACTTCAGCCTCAGGCTTTTGTACTACTCCCCTTTCTTTTAATTCTACACAAGAGGAGAGCAAGCTCTTTCTCTTTTTAGTTTAGAAATTAGCTTTAATCATAGGAAATTAAAGCAAGGTAAAACGATGGTTTTATATTTTGCATTGTTAACCAAGCCTAGCTAGAACGAGCCACTTAATCAAATTTGAATCCAGTCCCCACCATTTTTGCAATGGGATTAACACACCTTTCACAGCAGTTCAATTTATTTGTTGCATACATTCATTACATTTTTAAATTGCAACATTTCTACCATTTTCTTTTCTAAACAATAGTCCTGCTAAAGTAGTTTAACCTGAGAAATAGCGAGTGACCCAAAACCATTGAAATATTTGACTGTACAGGAAGTCCTCATTTAATGACCACAATTAAGACCCAGCAACTCGGTTGTTTGGCTGAAATGGCCATTAAGTGAAAATGTGAGTTCGGCTTTCCTTTGCTTTACAGACCTGCAAAAGTTATAAATGGAAGGGCTGGTCTCAAGGTTACGTTTTCATCACCATCACAACTGTGAACAGTCACTAAATGAGAACTAACTGTAGTAAAATATAAATTTGAAATTCGGTGTCCCCAATCCTCGACTAGCACCCAACCCTTACACTCAAAAGCACAACTTGTGTACAAGTGGTCAGTAACCTGGATAACATCTTCCAAATCCCTGGTGATTAACTATGCTGTGATTTAGGACTACTGCAATCCAAACACCTGAAAAGCCTTTAGGATGGCTATCACTGGATCCAGTATTATTGCTACTACACTACTACACTAATGTTTATTTGTGACTAAACAGCTAGTTAAATGGTTCAAATCACAGTATGACCAATTCATCTGCAGCTCTTCTACTTCCAGGAGCTGCGGTCTAACGCTACAAACAAACCTACAGGTTTCAAATAACCTTTGTGCCTTACAATTCAAAGGCATAATCCTTATGATAATATGCTCCCAAAAGGACGGGTTAAGCTACGTTTTTCAGGAAATGAAATGACTTGAACACTGTCCATAAAGACATGAAAGTATTGGATAAAAGACACCCATTCAGAAATTTATAACTTCTTGTAGTGCTGTATCAGCTAGGAAGGGGAAAAAAAGTTGGCAAGGCAGTAAAAAATGCCAGAGATGAAATGACAACATGAAAAACTGCTATTGATTCACTTGATTAAAGCAGTTGCTGATCCATGTAGAGGGGCCAGATATTTGTAGTTAAAAGATAACAACTGAGCCTGCTCTTTAATTATAGCTACACATTCTTCATTTCTTCCACTATTTATTTAAATTTACACCACCATCTGCTGGACGGAATTTTAGAACCATGAAATGTAATTGGAGTGCTGCTACTACAAATAAATAGAAATTGCAGCATTTACCTGAGGTAGAGGCAAAGCAGCCAGGGACATGTGGAGACCATATGGTGCTATAAATGACACCTTCGTGGCCTCTGAATGTGCGCAATGGCCGTCCCACTTCAGGATCCCACTAGACAAAACGTAAACAAATAAAGGATTATTGGTACACCTACTTTCAGGCTATAGCTCCTACTTTAGTGATTTTCAAACTGACCTTATTGTTTTAAACAAGCAAACAAAACATAAGCAATTAATAGACTCTATCAGAGTCTATTATAGCAATAGCAATAGCACTTAGACTTATATAACCGCACCAGAATTGTTTTCACACAAAATTGGAAACAAACTAATATTCCTTCAGAGGCAATGATAATAAGAAAGGTATATGAGTATGCAGAGATGGATAGGTTGACTATGGAATTGAAAGAGAGAGAAGAATCGGAGTACTACCATGTTTGGAGTAGATGGTATACATGGCTAAAGAACAGGAGTAAAATTATTGTATAAGAACTATATAATATTGATGATAATACCCTGTTTCCCCCAAAATAAGACATCCCCTGATAATAAGCTCAATCGGGCTTTTGAGCACATGGCAATAAGGCCAAGCGCTTATTTCAGGGTTCAAAAAAATATAAGACAGGGTCTTATTTTCGGGAAAACATGGTAGGATTGTATCATATCTATGTGTAAATACTACTATAATTCAAACGACTGTATAATATAGGATAGTGAACCATAGAAATATAATTTATGTAAATTTGAACGTTATGGATGATATTGACACCGATATGGAAATGCTGTAATGAGTGAAAATTTATGTTTCGTTTTTTAATGTTGAAAATGTTTAATAAAACTTTTTTTTTAAAAAAAAGACTTATATACTGCTTTACAGTTGTTTACAGCCCTCTCTAAGCGGTTTACACAGTCAGCATATTGCCCCCAACAATTTGGGTCCTCATTTTACCCACATTGGAAGGATGAGTCAACCCTGAGCCTAGTGAGATTTGAACTGCCAAATTGCAGGCAGCCAGCAATCAGCAGAAGTAGCCTGCAGTACTGCACTATAACTACTGTGCCACCGTGGCTCATTATAACTTAGATTGGTCACTCAGCAACTAGTCATAAATCAAGAGCTGCCTGAACTTTCAACTATCAACCACTATGGATTAATAATTTAAAGGACAATCACATATGCAAGTCTTGATCAATTTGCTGTTTTGTTACAGAAAGAAATACAACCCACGACTCTTCCCACTTGATCAAATTAATTCAGGAAATTTGTAATTATAAAAACAATTAGATTTCTCACTTTAATTGTCTTATTTTAAACTAATATTAATTTAAACAAAAGAAAGCAAGTCATCATCGGTAAAAGAAAAGAACAGAATTCATGTTAAGAATATTATTTTAGAATGTGAAACCAATATGCAATTTAAGTAACCTGCAGTACACACATACCAATTTTGCTGTTTGATCCCATGATCCAGATACTATTAACTGATCTCCTCTGGTTTGACTCCAATCAACACTATAGACCTGTAAATATTAGATACACTTTAGCTTGCTAGCACACATTGGATAAGCCATAAATAGAGCATATTTCCTGTTCTGCTACTGAAAGAATATACTGGATATACTGTGTAAAAGGAAGATAGATCAAGGTTCAAGACTGAAAAAATGAAAACCAATAACCAAAAATGAAACGCTTCTCTTTTAATACACATGCATATTAATAATCCACAATTTATAAAGGTACACAATAATTTGTTAGCTATATGATGAGACATAAAATATTTATACATGCATGTACATTTATACTAAAATATATTTGTATATACATACATAGATATGTGTGTGTTTGTGTGTCTGTATAGGCAATGTGTATGTGGTTGGTTGGTACATCCTTTTATTTATTGCAGTGTATAATAGCTGTAGTCTTTACCTTCACTTTTTCTTCCTAAGATAGAAAATTAAGACCCAGTCAACTGTGGTTTTCGATAATATTTCAAGAATTCTTTTTGCTCAGAAGAATGGAATCATTTTATTGCTTGCTACTCCCTCAATTATAGTTTTAAAAGCATTGATCCAAACACTGCTCACTCTTATTTTCTACCCAGCTATTCTTGGATTCGCACATTTCTTTTCTATTTTCTTAGTACTCCATCCACTGTGCAAAGAAGATAATCTCCAGGAGAAAACCACAGTCCCTATTATAAAAACTAGGTTACCACTGGAAATATCCCAGTTCAGATACTCATCTACAATTGGTGTAGCATGGAAAAATTACACAAGCCCAAAGGCTGTTTTTAAGTTTACTAAAAGATAAATGCAGCTTCCAAACAGGATCCAATTAATTCTAGTATGGTGTGACAGCTTTTTAAATATATTGTTTAAAGATTGATACTGAAACACTATGTGCCGGATTATTGTCCAAGGATGGTCAGACTAAATGACCATTTTATCAATTAACTAGGCTGCCCAAAACAAAACAATACTCTTTTAACCTGGGACTAGATTCTGCTTTTTTTTTTAAATTTTATTTTCTTAGATACGGCCATAAGACTAATCAATTAATAAACTACGACTATAAAACAAAACTTCTAATGTTGTTGTATAGGAGTCAGAATATTTAATTTTCAATAACTGAACATATATCTCAAAATACTAATATAGCAAAAGCCTGATGGCACTCACTGCTTGTGAACCTCCTCTTGATAAGAGCCAACCATGATGAGTTGCAACAAAATACTCCTGCAGAATATATGACTCCTGTTTAACATGGTCACTGTAGGACAGGGACCACCTCAAATACTTATACTGCTTATTTTAAGTTTATCTGCATCAACTAACTCCTGCTTTTGATTAGGTGGGCAAAATGCCCAGAGAAGTTCCTTCCCTGCCTTTTCCCCTGCAAAATAAAGTGTTTTGCCCATGTACAGGCATGCCACAACAACTGGAAGCAGCTTATGAAGGAGCCACTCATATCTGGAAAAATACATTAATTATTCAAATAATTTCTTTTGCAACTATATCTGTGAAGCAGCCCTTTGAAACAATTTGTACAGCCCTGCAGTCTAGAAATCAGGAGACTGTGACTTCTGATCCCCCATCAGACACTAAAACCAGAAGGATGATTTGGGGCCAGTCGTTCTCTTTCAGTCCACTTGCAAAAAGCCTTAAGAGAGACCTGAAGGGACTTCTCCAGGCAATTGTCAGGAATCACATTGACTCAAAGCTCCCCCCCTCTCTCTCTCTGTATGTGTGTGTGTGTGTGTGTGTGTGTGTGAGAGAGAGAGAGAGAGAGAGAGAGAGAGAGAGAGAGAGAGAGAGAGAGAGAGAGAGTGAGTGAGTGAGTTTTTTAACACTAAGATGGGAAACTTCTAGTCAACTCTGGCAAAAAACAACTTTTCACCCAAATACTCATCACCCTGACCAAAAGCCTCTTTTCCCAACCACTGCTACCCTCCTTACCCTTTTAGGCTGATTTCTTCAACATATATTTTTTTTCTAAAGAAGAGTGTACATGCCATATGAAGACCTTCAGGAAATGTAATGCACTTGGCTCATGCTTATTCACTCCTTGCACACCTTCCTACTACTCTGCATTTTCCATGATGGAGGAGGGCGCAGTGGCCTCATCTGACAATAACTCCTTAGAGGAAGGTAAGTTAGGCTACCACAAAGAGCTCTCTGAATCAGTTGAGGCAATCACTAGCAAAGGACAATGGTTAAAATCAATCTCTGCTAACTGCTCTAGCCAAAACTTTGATAATCACAAACCAATCTGTTTCCTACTTCTATTGCTTTTGTTTTCAAATCACTGACTTTCTTCAAAGGCTATGGGTGACAATGCCTAACAGATTTTAAAGACTTGAGGCTATAATGAGCATTCTAACGATATTCAAATAAAAATACTACTTTATCAATTGAGGATGTTAAGCCTGATTCACTCTTTAGTGGAAAAAAAGCAACAGCTTTAGTGCTGGTAGAAACAAAAAGCTGCCACGTGGAGAAAGTCCCACAGACAGGCCTTTGAAATTTTTCATAATAAAATGTGTAGCCTGTAAAATAAGAAAACAGAAGGCAAGAAATGTGTGAAGTGCTTGAGGCTAATTCAACTGGACTTTGAAATGCCCTACTTCTATCATAGAATGACAAAAGATATTCCAATGTAGAAACAGACTATTCAAATCTCACCAATAGTAGTCTACCCTTAGAATTATGAAAGTTATGAAGTTAGAACAATTGGTCTCAAAACATTTTGCAGACCTCCAGAGAAAATATACTTGGATTGCTTCAAATTTTGGCTATTTTAAGATCCTAACTTTGCTACAAAGACAATGAATATATTTTTATGTTAACTTCTCTTATTAATCTTTTTTTGGGGGGGGAGGGGAGGGAATCAGTGCAGTTCTACAAAGTGATAAACCTACAAATTCTGCAGAGTACAGAAAGTTATGTATAGGAGAGCCAATAATAAAATACTTATTTTATATGGCAGAAGTTCATACAATATAAAAATATCACAATCTTCCTGGAAAAAGAAAAAAATAGTGTAATTTCCAGATAAGACAACCTTTTGAAGTGTTTCTATAGTTACTGTAACATTTTAAAAAAACCTTTCCATTTTTCCACAATAGAACTAACAGAATCATTATGTTACATAATACTCAAAAATCATTTCCATTGATCTCAATGATACAAAATTTCTATTCAAAGAGGGATGCAACATTTGTAAGGATAATATACTGCTGGACAGAACATTGCAATTTTCAAAGGAAATTCTGCTTGTTTGTTTTTCAGAATGTCATTAATTTTCTCCAATAATATTTATTCTTTTTTTTTTGAAAACATGTTAATAAAGAAAATATAAACAGAAGAAACAAACAAAAGCAATAGTAGGATAAATCAGAGAGATTACTCAATCACAATTTATAGAAGTAAGAGAAGGTTCTGGTATTTCTAAACTTCAACTATTGTTTTATTGATTAAACAACAAAGGGTTCCTTTTTGAAGAGTCTATCTTGTTCTAGAGAAAAGTGACAATATTTAATTATACCTCTTGAGTGTGTTCTTTATAGACCTGCAAAGGACCTGCAGGTTTTTCTGTATCCCAGATTTGTAAAGATCCATCTCCAGCAGATGTGACCAGCACATGTTCATTGTTTTCACTCCACGTCACATCAAATAGACCATCATTCCAGTCAAAACTAAACCAAAAGTGAATATATCATGTAATATAACTGGGTACTATTTAATGACACAAAATTTTATATAATGACTAGGTTCACCCCAACACACAATCTCAAAACAAACATTTACATCTCATACAAAAAAATATAATGATGTGGGCTTGGGGAGAACCTGGAATGAAATTTTTAGCAAGTCATAACATTTCACTGAACTACATTCAGTCAGCTTAACTCATTTTATACAGAAATTATGAAAAGACAGGAATCTTCACATATTCAGTCCTGAGCTTCTTGTTTAAACAATGAATGGGGGGGGGGGCAGGTGATGACACACTTTTAACATTCAGCATTTTAAAAATTAAGTCTGCTAGAAATAAACAGATCTAACTTCTCATGAAATTCATATCCAGAGTTTGTCTTGTTCAAGCCTATTGTCAATGGGGCCCTTGATGTAAGAAGTAAATGTGATAATGAGTCACTTTGAAAAAATTCCACATTAAATATCAATTTCTAATTCTTCTCTATTAGTGATCAACTTTGATCAACAAAACTTCATTGAATTATTCATATATTGTTAAATGTTGTACTAACTTCAAAAATTTTGGGATATTTCTCAATCCAGCTATGTGAAGCAGAATCAAATGCTTTTTATAGTCTATTCAAGCCATAAAGAAATGTGTTCTTTTTCGCAAATCCTTTAAAACCAATTTTTTGATCGATAATTACTCCTTCATTCCTCTCAAATTTTTGCAGAATCCTTTTTTTCTACAGGGAGTAAATCATGTCTTTTCAAATAGATGTAGATTTGATTTGCAAGGCTTCCAATGAAGATGGCCAACTGACCAATTTACATATGTTGGGAACTGACTTTCCCAAGTTTTATATCTCTCTTCTCCATAAATCACCACCATGAATCTTCCATAAAATGATAGTTTGCAAGGAGACTCTGAACCAGTACTTGGAAGTAGTCAGATAAGTCGTCCATAAACTGGGAAATTGGTTGTAACCACTTCATTGTTAAAAAAGTAATTGTTTTGGAATTTATTTTTTGAATGAACAATTAGTCATGGCTTTCACTTCTTAAACATTTTGCTTATTATCTTTACTAATTCAGTTACAGTCTGCTTCACCTTTTTGAAGATCTGCACCATTTCTGGGAGATCATTATTACTGAACAACAAGGAAGGCTGCCAAAGGTAAGCTAAAATAAGAAAGCATTGAGTACTTTTTTCTTTCTTATTTTGATTGAGAAACATAAAAATTGAAAAAGTTGTGGTTTAATATCTTCATTTTCATGAATTTGTAACTATTATTTGATGTTGGGAGTTATAATTTGCACTTTTGGATTGTTTGTTATGGGAGGCTGAAATCTTCCAACTTTAATGGATACTGATTGGCCAGGAGGTACCAGGTCATCTACAAAAAGCTTTTTTTAAAATATTTTATTTATTTTATTTTATTAATATTATATTTTCTTTGACCACAAGAGGGAGCTGAAGAACAGAAGATGATGAAGCACTATATAAAAGGACATAGAAGGCACCAAAATCAGTCAAAAATTGCAAAAATGATTTTGAAGGAGTATTTAAACAAAACAATTCACTTTATAGATCAACTATGTTCGAAAAATGTCATGAAAGAGGAGCAAGAGAAACTAATTACTGAAGTAATTGGAAGATAGATAAGTAATTCAGAGATACAACCAAATGCAGAATAGAATAGAATAGAATAGAATAGAATAGAATAGAATAGAATAGAATAGAATAGAATAGAATAGAATAGAACAGAATTCTTTATTGGCCAAGTGTGTTTGGACACAAAAGGAATTTGTCTTTGGTGCATATGGTCTCAGTGTACATAAAAGGAAAAAGAAAAAAGAAAAAAGTACATTCATCAAGGTTATCAAGGGTTATCAAACCACTGAAGCTACTACTGCACAAGTATTTGACAATAAAAAGAACCTAACTGGAATATAAATCTGTCAGAAACAGTGCCTACTATGAAGATGATTTAATTACAAGCCCATTACAATTATAAGTCCCCCAGTGCAACTGAAACAAGAAAAATTGCAAGTAAAAACTATGATCCTTAAGAGAATACATTTGGGATTTCCACTTCAAAAATGAAATGGAAACTGACAATGTCAACATATTTGTTTTAAAAATCATACTAGAGAATCTCTTGAGAAAAAGAGAAGTTCGTATTTATTTAATAGATATTCCAAAGAAGAAAAAGATTTTATTTTATGAGAACAAGCTGGAAGGTGTGACTTAAATTTAATAAACTAATTGAAGTAAGGATGGATTTTCTATTGGTTTGACACAGATAATTAAAAGAAAGTTCAATGCATTCTTTTGTGCTTATAAAATGGGACTGAAAATGGGTTATTCTTTTTTCTCTTTTATATATAATGCTTGAGTAATTCCTAAATTTTGCAAAATACTACTGAATGTGAATTTAAAAGTATATATTGTATGTTGAAAGGAAGTTTTAAAAGATGCATTAGAATTGATTTTAGTTATAATTTGAAATTTTTAGAGAAATGTTTAGAATTTTAAAAATAATATAAAAGATTAATGAATTTGAAATATGTTTTGTTTTGTTAATATAAATGATGATAGTTTAGAAATATTAATAAATAGAGATATTTATCACTTCCCAGAATGGGGGTGGGGGAGGGAGGGGGGGAGAAAAAAAGATTTTGCTAAGATGGTGATGTAAATTACTTTATTTATTTTTTTTGCTTTTTGCTTTGTTGCTTGTATCCTTACGATTTATATTGACTGTTTCCTATTAATTTGATTGCTTATTTGTACCCTATGACTATCATTAAGTGTTGTACCTTATGATTCTTGACGAACATATCTTTTCTTTTATGTACACTGAGAGTATATGCACCAAGACAAATTCCTTTTGTGTCCAATCACACTTGGCCAATAAAAAATTCTATTCTATTCTATTAAGCAAAGAGATTTTATTTGGCCTTATTTCTATTGGAATATTGCTTCTGGTTTTTTTGCTTAAAAATGAAATTCAACATTTCATCTGAAGATTTATACAATTGGCTTGTAATAATTATAGATAATGTAAAAAGTTGAGGTCATAACTATATTAGAATTTTACTGTGTTGGAAAGAATTGGAAGTCAATATCTCCTTTTCTCTTTTTTATAGTCATGCACTCCCTCCGTTTTCTTAATCTTTATTTTAATTGTTTGTTATGCTACAATGAACCTTAATAAAACTTTTTTAAAAAGATTTGGTTTGTAATTACGCCCAGAAGTAACCTGTATGTTGTTGGCAAACAAATTATGGATCTGTAGTTAGAAATGTTCTACCAGCGATTAGCTATTTTACTTACAGATTACTTGATGGAAAACCTCCTTCACAATTTTAATGAAGGGAACATCTGCCTTAAATGTTATCTAAGTAGTTTTGTCATTATACCTTCAGATCTCAATTTTGGCACATGCACAACGTAGTAAAGGGAGCTACATTACCAAAGCTAAGAACACAACCCACTCAGAAGTGTTGCTTGATAACATAAATTGATAGGACTATGCATTCACCTTGTTTACTGAAGAATCAAGTTCCTATCTTCTGAATGCATATCGTTTTGCAGAAGGTCATTATGAGGGCAGATAGTTTTACACATCCCTGTCACTACTAACCATAAGATACAGGGAACTGAAGCTAGATTTTTTTTTTAAGTAATTGCTGACAGCTTTTATTTTTTAGTAGAATTTAATGTAGCATTTTTTATTTTATTTTATTTTTGCCTTTTTGTGGAATCAGTGTAGGCAAGTTTCATGTGTAATGTTTTTATGAAAGAAGAATCTCCACATTTGGGAAGTGGGGAAGTGGTTCAATTTCCTTTTTCTCTCTTCAGTTTTCTGAACTGTTCTATTTTCAATACTTCTTTCAATACTTCTTTTTATTCACTACTCCTCTATTAAATCAACACACAAGAATTTAGCAGTATAAGTGCATTTGACACAGTTACACTGTTTTATAAAACTACATCAGAATATCTAATTCCAAAAACACAAGATTATGCAATAATTATTTTTATTATGAAAAAAACAAAATACCTCCTGAAAAGATGAAGTCCGGCTTCATTCTGTTCTAACACTACTAGAGTTCCACAACCTAAAATTGAAGACAATAAAAACAACACTGAAAACAATGGTTTACCGCACAGGTGTCAAACTCGATCGTGTCACGTGATGTATCGCAACGTATCGTGATGATTTTTGCCTTTTCGGAGCCGGGGTGGGCGTGACCTGCATGTGACGCGTCCTACCCATGGGACATCAGTTTGACACCCCATGTTTACAGTATAATACGGACTAAATTAGAGTAAGATTCTTGAAAACTGCTAGACTTTGGGAACCCCTTTCAGAAACATTGAAGCCTACCTTACAGCCTTGTCAAATTATATCTACTTAACATAAAATCGCTACTCTGACTGGCAGTGCTTTTTTAGGGTATGAGAGATCTTTTTCATCACTGTTTAATTTTTTTAACTGAAGGTGTTATATACAAATTATGTGCTCTTGCCATCTTCTTTTTCCAAAAGATGTACAGCATACACTCTGATGAATTTTACAGTTAATAAGCCTCCAGAGACTAAATATAAAAATACATCTCTATAGCATGGATTGTTAAACAGAATCAGTATTACCTTTACTGCCCTCAAAGTTGTACTTTTCAAGAACCATTTTGAAAGCTTGAGATGGGGAAAAGGAAGTAGGAAGCACTTTCAAATAAACGTTTGAAGAGATTTTTGACTTTAGGGTACAAAAATATAATGGTCACAATTAACTTCAAATATAGTTTAAAATAATGTAGAGATGACCTTATGGAAGGAATGATCGAACAGTTAAGGGAAAAGAAACAGCAAATTAGTCCTGGAAATGTGAAAATAATGAGAAAGAAAGAAACTCAAAATAAGCTCGCTTTGATTCTGTTTGGTGAAAGAGAAGGCAGAGGGAAACTGACTGACTTTCAAGATCCTGGTTTTTACCTCACAACAATAAAGTAGCATGTCTGGAATTCTTGCAGTATCTGGTCTGAAAGATACCGGGCTAAAGGAGTGACATATAGATGTAATGGCTATCATATACTTGTGTAACTGTACTGGATAGCTAATTGTATACTTATTCCATGTAAAATGGAAATGCAACCTAAGATAGTTGCGTGCAAACCTAAATGTTTCATGTGTGTCCCCAGAACTTATTCAAATGTTGTCATCATAACTGGGAGAAAATGACTAAATACATGACAGGGAACTACATATCAGCTATTTAATTTTAATTCAATAAAAATGATTTTTTCCCCTTTTCATCCTTGTATTGCCCACTTTTTGGATTGTTCCTCAAGCACACCATTCAGATATCATATGTGTGGGAATGTCTCTTTCCTAAGGCATTTTTGTTTTCCTAAAGCATTTTTGTTATCTTTGAAGATTTACTTCCAGGTGCAATACAGGTAGTTCTTGATTTACAACCATTTGTTTAGTGACCATTCGGAGTTACAACGGCATTCAAAAGTGACTTATGATCATTTTCCAGATTTATGACTGCTGCACCATCCCCATGTTCACATGATTGAAATCCAGACGCTTGGCAACTGATTCATATTTATGATGATTGCAATGTCCCAGGGTCATGTGATCACCTTTGGCAAGCAAAGTCAATTGGGAAACCAGATTCACTTAACAATCATATTACTACTGCAGTGGTTCACTTAACAACTGTGGCAAGAAAGGTAATAAAATGGGGCAAAACTCACTTAAGTGTCTCACTTAGAGAAATGTTGGGCTCAATTGTGGTCGTAAGTCGAGGCCTACCTGTACTACCAAACATAATTAGGCTAGCAGGGAAAGAACATTTTCACTACTAGATTTACCGAGAGACGTACAGGTAGTCCTCAATTTATGACAACAATTGAGCCCAAAATTTATGTTGCTAACCAAATCCTCAGTCACATCAGACATAAAAAAAAATTACCAGCCACAACACTGTAATGAACCATGGATTTGTTTAGGATGCCTGCATGATTTAGCTGATTTTTTTCCACTGAACGTGATGTCAAAAGCTGTTTTAACCATTTTATTTCCGTTTTAAAAGAAGGGAACATTTTGTCTTGCACTTTCTTAATTCCAACTGGGTGTAACCTGACAGCACTCACCCAGGAAAGCCTCAGCACTCTCTTCCCAGGTGAGAACTGTGTACAGCACTTAATTATGGCTTTCCCAAACCCTTCTTCCCTAGTATTGCATGATCTCTTGAGCTAGTTTATTAAAAAAGAAAAAAGAAAAAGAGGGGGCCCTAAAGTGTGCACATCATACTTGAAGACTCCCAGTTAATTTTGGGCCACCAAAAGCATGTATGCATTTCTGTTCCAGGTAAACTTTTTAGCAGGTCGGTTAAATGCAACCTAAGCTGCAAAAATCCTAGTATTTGCAAACTGGTTAAGTCAGTCCTGGGAAACCTAAGAATGGCCGAGAAATGGGGCGGTGGCTACTATCCAAACCAGGTCATAATTTATCTCGGTGAAGCCCTTCAAACAAGCACGCAGATTGGAGCCTATGGTAGCCCTGCCCGTTTACAGGACGAGTCTGCCCCACGCAGCCAGCCTGCCTGTCCTCCTCTGTCTCTCTCTCTCTCTCTCTCCAACCACCCAAAGAATCAAGGCAGCAGAATTATTATTGCTGCTGCTGCTGCTGCCACTGCGCACGCGCCACCTGCCGCCGTTTCACCTGCAATCCCGTAGTACTGCGAGGTAGCGCAGGCCAAACGCCCCGGCAGGTACGGCGAAAACTCTACTGCGTAACCATGGCGGCCGGGCAAGCGGAAGGCCTGCGCCTTCAGGAGCTTCCCTAGAGCTTCGCCGCCGATACGGCTCATGGCCTCTGAGCTCGTCTGCCCTGCCGCGGGGAGGGAGCTGCTCGCGCGGGCGGCTTCAAAAGCGCCCGCTCCCTTCCTCGTTTCGCCAGGCCCACCCGCTCCTCCTCCTCCTCTCCTCCTCGTATATGGGCGGGGTTGAGGGAAGCAGTCGCCGCCGCCGCCATGCTTGTTTTGGGCGACAAGCCTTTCTTCCGAATTGCCTTCTAGCAAGTCGGGCTTCCGGTTCCAGCTCGCCTTTCATTGGAATCGACACACACAGACAACACATCCCCATAACTGGTTAAAACCAGTGGTGAAATTCAATTTTTTTTACTACTGGTTCTGTGGGCGTGGTGTGGCTTGGTGGGCATGGCAGGGGAAGGATACTGCAAAATCTCCATTTCCACCCCACTCTAGGGGAAGGATACCGCAAAATCCCCATTCCCTCTCCACTCCTGGGAGAAGGATATTGCCAAATCTCCATTCCCACCCCACTCTGGGACCAGCCAGAGGTGGTATTTGCTGGTTCTCCAAACTACTCAAAATTTCCGCTACCGGTTCTCCAGAACCTGCTGGATTTCACCCCTGGTTAAAACTGTAGGAAGTTAGCACCCACCCCTTTCCTGGAAGAGTGAAATATTTTAGAAAATATGAAAAAGGCAGAATATTATATTTCCCTGGGAGAAGCATATTTTACAGACAAAGCAGCTCCCACCTTCCTGCCCCCACCCTTTGTCAATGGGCCATTAAGGCTTGGGCCAGTCTATTCTACATAACAAAGATCTACCTCCTTCAGGCAGAGCCATAGTAGGAATTGCGAAAGATAGGATTAGCCCTCTACACAATAGCAGTAGAAACTCACCACATGTGACCTGGGAAGCACATCTGACCATCAGCCAGCAAGGCCCCCACCCCCTGGGAGTCTGACAACCAATCAGGATACTCTTTTGGGGCCCCAAGAAATGCAGAGCCAGAGAGAGCATAAAACCCAGGGACTCACTGCGTCTCGCCCCTTTTCTGTTCAGGAACTCAAGCCATGTGATCCTGTCCACCATTAAACCATCTTTCCAAGCAGTCTCCATGTTTCCAGTGTCTGTTTCCCCACTTGGAGCAGAACCCAGAAGGATGTTTCTTCCAACAAAACTATCCAAGATGAGTTAGGTTGTACACACGAGGCCATTACGAAATGGAAATAAGGTTAAATTTTCTGACAGTGAGAACAATCAACCAATGGAACAGCTTGCCTTCAGAAGTTGTGGGAGCTTCATCCACTGGAGGCTTGTAAGAAGAGACTGGACTGCCATCTGTCAGAAATGGTGTAGGGTCTCCTGCTTGGGCGGGTGGGATGGTGGTGGACTAGATGACCTACAAGGTCCTTTCCAACTCTCTTAATCTGTTAAAACATGCCTTTAACTGACTTGTTTAAGCGTGTTGTGTAACATTGTATTCGTTGAGACTTTGCAAATTTTTATATTGCTTTTCATTAAGTTGGGTTATAGTGTGGTTACAAGAGTAAAATAACAGGTAAAACCACAAATGAATATTTGTTTTGGCTTTTTAAAACCAATATGTAATAAATTAATGTCAAGGCATATTGCAATACGATTTTAAGGACGTCATTCATTGCTCTTTCTGCAAACCTTCAGTTTTGACTATAGTTTTTTTAAAAGTTAATGCACTTTTAATTGTTGTAGAAATTTCCTGGGGATACTACACTTTCATCTGTTCAGAGAATTACAATCATAGATTATAAACAATTAAGACTTTAACTGCTATTCATGCATACTGTGTGCATAGTAATTGAATATTCATTTTAATAGAGAAATATATCAATAATTTTTCATCCAAGTGTAATGATGACAGAATTGTCACCAAAGCTACCAACATCAGTTTCCTGTTCTTTTATAGACTCACTGGTAAATTGGATAGACTAAAATTCTATCCAATTGTCCCACTCTTCTTTATTTCCATCTGCTCTTAGATAAAGAAGTTCTTTATTAGCATTTTACTAGAGTAACAGACTTATTTCACAAAGGGTGGAGGTCAACAAATCTGCTACTTATTAATTTATCAGATTTACATAGCCACCCATATCATCAAAGGTGATTCTGTCTGGCAGACAACATAACAATAAAACAATGCATATATTAAAACAGCCATATATATATATAATGTGTTTAAAATGAAATAAAAATATACAAACCCTAGACACACAGAAAGAACGAGTATATCCACTTCATTAGTAGAGCCACCTGAACCATATCTCTAATTGACAATAGTAAATCTTTTTTCTATTAACCATTTTAAACAGTTTAAGAAAATACTATTGATTTTAATACAATTGAATTTCTAAGGAAGCACACATGGTCTGGTTTGTCCAAGATGTTGGCTAAAATGCGGCTGCCTAATTTGTGGCTCAGCATGTAATTTGAGTGAATCTGGCTAATGTCATGTGCAAACTTAGCATGCACTTGTATTAATTCAGTTCACTATATGCTTTGTGAGAGAAGCTATACAATCCTTTGATGTGAGTAAACTTTTATGTAATATAAATCGAATAAGTCACATAGTCTTACTAATTTCTCAACAAAGTAGTAATCAAAATATGCTAAAGATTTTGCAACACTGATGTTAAGAATGAAAAATGCTACTCTAAATAAAAGATAGGTCTATATTTACACTACATATAATTTTATGCACAGATAATAAAGGTGCCTGAAAGTTTGTGGCTCATTGTGTAGGTAGTTGAAAGATAAATAGGATGAACAATAAGATTTTGCAGAGAAGTTACATAATTTAAAAGTTACATTTGGTAAATGCTTATTTTGATCAGGTTTATTAAATGTACAATAACTGCTAGAAAAAGCCAATGTGTGTGATATATAATAGATTGTACTTGATATTCTTTATTGAAACACTTGACATACTGTAAATCAAGAATATAATATGTGTTCTTACCATTAGGAAAAAAGAGTAATAAAGAGTTTTAAATTTATTGTTAGTTCCAAAGTGCATCGAGGTTTTCTCTCTCTAGCTAAAATATCTTTTAGATTTCAGGAATTAACCTTTGGAAATGATTGAGTAGTGAAAATTTATGTCAGATTTCAGGAAAGCTCTCCAGTGCCTGCTGGAAACCCTGTGAGTCTTATTATCGGAAATTATTGCCTACCCAATTCCAAAATGGCTGTGACTAGCTTTATTAGTGAAAAAGGAAACAATATGTGAAATGAACACATTTATTATATAAATGCAATCATCTGGAGGAATAACATACCATATCTGAACATTATTCCCCCAGCTAAAAGGCACCCACACAAAATATATGCCTGGGGAAAAATAGTTTTTAGAGGTGAAAAAAAGGAAGATTCCATAAGATCTTGATGGAAATACTGTTCCAAAGAATAGGTGCAATGACAGACAAGGCTTGCTTCTTGGTTCCCGTGGCTTTACATTGGTCAATTGATGGGACTCAAAGCAAGTTGATCTTGTTAGAACAAACAGGATGAGTAGACACAATGCAAGACAGGTGGTTCCTCAAATAACTAAAACACGGGTGTCAAACTTGCCGCGTCATGTGATGTATCGCAATGTTTTTCCCTTCATGGAGCTGGGTTGGGCATGGCCTGCGTGTGACGTATCTGGCCCACAGGCTGCCAGTTTAACACCCCTGACTGCTAAAATGTTACACCATATACCATGATCATCAGCACCTTGAATTATATGTAAGTCTTGACACCAGATAGAGAAGTTCAGGAACAGATACCACTGGGCAGCAAAGTGACTGACATTTCAACTGCACCCAATCACTTGTAGAATAGAGGTCTCTTAGAAGAGAACTACTACTTCATTTCTTTGGTCTGCAGCACCCAAAACACAGTTAAGTAAATTTTGGACAAGGCAACATCTCCCCCATCAATCAAGCAGATTTCAGTAATCTGTCCATTTTCTCTACAATTAAATTGTGGAAGAACACAATATATTTTTTAAAAATTTTTAATTGGTTTGTGATTTTAAATTGAGGCCAAATTAATATATATCTTTTTAATTGCTTTTAATGTTTGTATTGTATGTTTTTATCTGGCTGTACACCACCCTGAGTCCCTTGGGAGAAGGTGCGATATATAAATTTGAAATAAAATAAAATAAAAATAAACATGGACTCTAGTGGAGTTCCCCAAGGCCTGCAATTAATTGTTATTTGGGCATTCCTTTAATGATGAGGCCTGGCTTCCTTTCATTTTTTGATGGTTTCTTCAAATTCCCACTTTTTTAATTTGTGAAAAATCCGAATGGGAACTCCAACATCTTGGAGAACTGTTAGAATTTTGCAAGATTGGGCAATCTTATGACATCTAAACAAACCTTATTTTTTTTTGTAAAATAAATATATTTTAGTGCTCATTCCACTATGTAATGTTTTATTTACCTGAAGCGTAGCTAATCCCTAGTATGAACCAGTCCACTATAACCTGCTGTGGTTAAACCATGGTTTAGCATGTTTTCTTAGGTTAGATTGGCAAATTAGACCTTTGCTAATGTACATTTACTAATGTAAATTACAAATATATAATCCTTGGACACCAGGATCAAAGAAATTCACTTTTCTATCAAGCAAACGTGTTATTCTAAGCTTCAGTTTTTAATAGTTTAAAAACGCAACGTATGTTTATTCTTGCAACCATCCTTATGATTTCTGAGCTGTTCATCTTTATTTTCAGGTTTCCAATTACATCATTTAAAGATATATCAAGGGATCTTATCTCAGGAGGCACCAGTGGCAATGTTTGCTTTATTGCAGGAAAAGGCAGAGATTACATTGTGCGAAGAAAAAAGTGAAAGCAAACTCTTATAATGAAACTTCCATTTATTATGAAAAATGCACTTTGAAAAAAAAAGATGTGTATTCTAAAGCAAGCATTTTTGAGGCAAGGTAGCACACATGATGGTGCAAGGGAGCATAGAAATCACCTTGGAGAAAATAAGCAGCAGCTGTTAGCAAAACGTGAGTTTAGCCTGGGAAAACAAGAGAGCAGGAGAGAGAAACCAAAAATTACACTGCATTGACTCCTTTTCATAGAAGAGGGAAGGAAGGGAAAACACAAGATGTGATTATAGCCGATATCAATAGAGTGGAGTT